TTGACCAGGATGGTCTCGATCTCTTGACCTCGTGATCCACCCGCCTCGGCCTCCCAAAGTGCTGGGATTACAGGCTTGAGCCACCGCGCCCGGCGCCCAGCTAATTTTTTGTATTTTTAGTAGAGACGGGTTTTCACCATGTTGACCAGGATGGTCTCGATCTCTTGACCTCGTGATCCACCCGCCTCGGCCTCCCACAGTGCTGGGATTACAGGCTTGAGCCACCGCGCCCGGCCCAATTTCTTTTTTTTTTTTGAGAGACGGAATCTCACTCCGTTGCCCAGGCTGGAGATCAGTGGTACGATCTTGGCTCACTGCAACCTCTGCCTCATGGGTTCAAGCAATTCTCCTGCCTCAGCCTCCTGAGTAGCTGGGATTACAGGCGTCAACCACTATGCCTGGCTAATTTTTGTATTTTTTGTAGAGATGGGGTTTCACCATGTTGGCCAAGCTTGTCTTGAACTCCTGACCTTATGATCCGCCTGCCTAGGCCTCCCAAAGTGCTGGGATTACAGGCATATGCCACCGCCCTTGGCCCCTAAAATTCTGTTTCTTTTTTCTTTTTCTTTCTTTTTTTTTTTTTTTTTTTTTTTTGGAGATTGAGTTTCACTGTTGTTGCCCAGGCTGGAGTGCAGTGGCGAGATCTTGGCTCACTGCAACTTCCGCCTCCCGGGTTCAAGCGATTCTCGTGCCTCGACCTCCTGAGTAGCTGGGATTATAGGTTCCTGCCGCCACGCCCAGCTAATTTTTGTATTTGTATTTATTTATTCTTTAAAAGACGGGGTTTTACCATGTTGGTCAGGCTGGTCTTGAACTCCCGACCTCAGGTGATCCGCCTGCCTGGGCCTCCAGAGTGCTTGGATTAGAGGCATGAGCCACCACGCCTGGCCTGAATTTTTGTATTTTTAGTAGAGACGAGGTTTCACCACATTGGTCAGCCTGGTCTTGAACTCCTGACCTCAGATGATCCACCCGCCTCAGCCTCCCAAAGTGCTGAGATTACAGGTGTGAGCCACTGTGCCTGGCCTTGATTGAATATTCCTTAGAGATAGAATATTAGGCCGGGTGCAGTGGCTCATGCCTGTAAACCCAGCACCCTGGGAGGCTGAGGCGGGTGGATCATGAGGACAGGAGTTTGAGACCAGCCTGGCCAATAGGGTGAAGCCCCGCCTCTACTAAAAATACAAAAGTAGCTGGGTGTGGTGGCACATGCCTGTAATCCCAGCTACTTGGGAGGCTGAGGCAGAAAAATTGCTTGAACCCAGGAGTCAGAGGTTGCAGTAAGCCAAGATCATGCGATTGCACTCCAGCCTGGACAACAAGAGCAAAACTGTCTCAAAACAAAACAAAATGAAACAAAAGGAATATCCAATCAAATGTGACAAACAATAAAAATGTGAGAATATATTTTTAGACATGTAAGGGCTTAAAAATTATTTTATATATAACCCCTTTTTTGGGGGGTAGGGGAGATGGAGTCTCACCCTGTCATCCAGGCTGGAGTGCAGTGACGTGATCTTGGCTCACTGCAACCTCCACCTCCCTGGTTCAAGCAATTCTTCTGTCTCAGCCTCCCGAGTAACTGCAACTACAGGCACCTGCCACCACGCCTGGCTAATTTTTGTATTTTTTGTAGAGATGGAGTTTCACCTTGTTGGTCAGGCTGGTCTTGAACTCCTGACCTCAGGTGATCCACCTGCCTCAGCCTCCCAAAGTGCTGGGATTACAGGCATGAGCCACTGTGCCAGGCCCTATATATACACTTTCTTGGATAATATTGGAGGCAGTCCTTGAGCAAATCAAGAGAATAAACCGTAGTCTAGAAAAAATGTGGGATTAACAGGGAAGAATGTGAAGAAATCCAAATTGAAATAGAAGAAAGGGGCCGGGCGCGGTGGCTCACGCCTGTAATCCAAAAACTTTGGGAGGCCGAGGCGGGTGGATCACGAGGTCAAGAGATCGAGACCATCCTGGTCAACATGGTGAAACCCCGTCTGTACTAAAAAAATACAAAAAATTAGCTGGGCATGGTGGTGCGTGCCTGTAATCCCAGCTACTCAGGAGGCTGAGGCAGGAGAATTGCCTGAACCCAGGAGGCGGAGGTTGCGGTGAGCCGAGATCACCAATGCACTCCAGCCTGGGTAACAAGAGCGAAACCCTGTCTCAAAAAAAAAAAAAAAGAAATAGAAGAAAGGGTTGTTGGGGGCACTCCGTATTAGTTTCTTTCTTTCTTTTTTTTTGAGACGAAGTTTAACTCTTGTTGCCCAGGTTTCAGTGCAATGGCGAGCTCTCAGCTCACCTGGCTCACTGCAACCTTTGCCTCCCAAGTTCAAGTGATTCTTCTGCCTCAGTCTCCCGAGTAGCTGAGATTATAGGCATGCACCACCCTGCCTGGCTAATTTTGTATTTTTAGTGGAGTCAAGGTTTCTCCATGTTGGTCAGGCTGAACTCCTGACCTCAGGTGATCTGCCTGCCCTGGGCTCCCAGAGTGCTGGGATTACAGGTTTGAGCCACTGCACCGGGCCCTGTATTAGTTTCTTCTGGCTGCTATAACACATACCGACTGGGCGCAGTGGCTCACCTGTAATCCCAGCACTTTGGGAGGATGAGGGAGAAGGATCTCTTGAGCCCAGGAGTTCAAGACCAGCCTAGGCAACAAAGTGATACCCTGTCTCTATAAAAATAAAAATATACACAAAACACACACACACACACACACACACACACACACACACACACACACACACACACACAGAGTGGCTTAAAACAGTGGAAATGTATTTCACAGTTCTGGAGGTTAGAAGTTGACATGGAGGTGCTAGTGGGACATACCTCTTGAAGCCTCTAGGGGAGTATGTGTTTCATGTCCTCTCCTGGCTTCTGGTGATGGCCATCAAACCTTGACATTCCTCGGTTTGTAGACACATCACTCCAGTCTGCCTCCTCCTTCACATGGTGCTATGGTTCCAGTGTTTGTCCCCTCCCAAATTCACGTTGAAATTTAACTGCCATTGTAACACTGTTAAGAAGTGGGACCTTTGGCCGGGTGTGGTGGCTCACACCTGTAATCCAAGCACTTTGGAGGCCAAGGCAGGCAGATCACCTGAGGTTGGGAGTTCAAGATCAGCCTGACCAACATGGTGAAACCCTGTCTTAAAAAAAGAAAAAAAAAAACAAAGAAGTGGGACCTTTAAGAGGTGATTATAAATTGCCCAGTCTTGGAGGTTGCGGTGAGCCGAGATCACCCCATTGCACTCCAGCCTGGGTAACAAGAGCAAAACTCCGTCTCAAAAACAAAACAAAACAAAATTGCCCAGTCTTTCGTATCTTTTTATAAAGGATGAAATGGACTGAATCAGAAAACTGGTACCTGAGAATGGGGTGTTGCAGAAACACCTGAAAATGTGAATTGGTGTTAGAACTGGTAATGAGCAGAGGCTGCAAGGGTAGCTGGGACTATAGGTGTAAACCACCACGCCTGGCTAATTTTTCTAGTTTTGGTAGAGACAGTTTCACCACGTTGTCCAGGCTGGTATCGAACACCTGACCTCAAGTGATCCACCTGCCTCGGTCTCCCAAAGCACAGGGATTGCAGGCATGAGCCATCGTGCCTGGCCTTTTACTTTTTATATAGTCAGAGTTTAAAAATGTTTTCCTGTTTGGCTTCTGTTTTGTTATGTTTAGAAAGACCTTCTTAACTTCAAGAATTAACAAAATTATCCCATATTTTTACTTAAAATTTTATTTTAAATTCTTAACTTTTTGATCAAACAGGTGTGTGTACGTGCTGGCACGCGCCAAGGAAGCAAACGAGTAGCCTTATTCTTTTCCCTGTGGGTAGGTAGTCGTGCCACCTTTATCACATGGTAAGTTTCCCAGACCTCTCAAACGAAAATAAGTTAAAAGGAAATGGTAAAAGCTTTTCAGTGAAGGCGAACTCAGTGCGCCCGTCAGTCCCTGCGGGGAGAAGAGCCTCCCTTTCCAGGCCTGAGAACCCGGGGAAACAAGCGGAACGCTGGTGTGCGAGGGCCGAGAGCCGGACGAGCCCAGATACCGACGGCTGCACGGCAGCGGGGAGCGGTTTGGCGGAGACACAGGGCCGCTCCGAGGCCGCTGCGATGCTGCCCTCCTTGCAGGAATCGCTGGATGGGGATGAAAAGGAGCTAGAGAGCAGCGAAGAGGGAGGCTCAGCCGAGGAGCGGAGACTCGAGCCGCCGTCCAGTAGCCACTACTGTCTCTACAGCTACCGCGGAAGCAGGTGCCGGCGCCCGGCTCTGCCTGCCCGTCAGCCTGCCCCTGCGGCCCCGCCCCCGGCCCGCCGCCCAGCCCTGCACCCCACCCCCGGCCTGGCGGCCAGACCGCTCCTAAAAGCCATCTTCTCCTCTCCCAACCAAGGTCTCTGGTCTGAAGGGCTCTCCCCGCCTCACGCGGCTCTTCCTGCCCCCATCCGGGACTTGTATGCCTGCCCCGACCATGCCTCTGCCCTTCATCTGCCCCATATCATCCCAGCCCCTTACTCTCGCGGCTGCCCTTTGTTTAACGCAATGCCCTGCACGCTCAATAATTTCGGTTCCCGTCCCCTGTCCTTTCTGTCGCTATCTCCCCACTTTCTCCCATTTCCGTCGCACACACCCCTGCTTCCTCTTTTCCCTCCTCCTGACTGACTTTCCTGGGGCCTTCTTGGCCCTGTCAGGTTTGTTTTTTAAAGGAGTTTCCTTTAATCTTTTCGGTAGCCTTTCCTCCACCCTTTAGGTGGACTAGAGAGAGAAGGGGCTCTTGTCAGCACTGCTGTAGGGTTTTCGTTGTCATGAGGATAGGCAGTGCACTTCCGCCTTGCAGCATTTTTAGTTGACTCCTTGCCTTATCCTGCTTGCAAGGCCGCCATACTCCTCTTGGTTTAGAGCCCATAATTGATAGCACTATTGCTTTTGTGGCTTGCAGATTGGCACAGCAACGAGGGGACAGTGATGACGGAAGCCCAAGTGGCACAAATGCAGAAACTCCCTCTGGTGATGATTTCAGGTAAAAAGAGCTTCACCATAATTCATGCATGTGCTTTTATCTTCCCTGCATCTCTGGCCTGTACATGTCAGTGGGTACTCCATTTCTACTGAGCCTTCTCTGAGTCAAACCATCAATTCCTCCTATCCCCTAGGAACCTCATCCTGATTTCCTCATTACCTGGTTCATTCAAGGCTGGGGCAAACAAATCCACATACTGATAATGTGCTTGGTGATTAGCTAGAAATAAATCCTTTTTTTTTTTTTTTTTTTTAATTGAGACAGGGTCTTGCTCTGTTGCCCAGGCTGGAGTGCAGTGGCATGATCTTGGCTTGCTGTAGCGTCAACCTCCCCAGCCTCAGGTGATCCTCTCACCTCAGCCTCCCCAGTAGCTGGGACTACTGACCACCATGCTTGGCTAATTTTTGTATTTCTGGTAGAGATGGGGATTCGCCATGTTGCCCAGGCTGGTCTTGAACTCCAGGACCCAAGTGATCCGCCCACCTCTGCCTGCCAAAGTGTTGGGATTACAGGCATGAGCCACCTTCCCCAGCCTTGAAGTTTTTTTTTTTTGTTTGTTTGTTTGTTTGTTTGTTTTATTAAGACGGGGTTTCACCATGTTGGTCAGGCTGGTCTTGAACTCCCAACCTCAGGTGATCTGCCCGCCTTGGGCTCCAAAGTGCTTGGATTACAGGCGTGAGCCACCATGCCCAGCCGCCTTGAAGTTTTTAATCAATTATACCTCAATAAAGTTGAAAGAAAGTTAAAAAAAGAGTGTGTACAGGGGTGTGATTATAATGACTGATCATGGAATTAAGGCTGAATAAGGAGGGAAGTGAGATGAGAAACTTGAGAGGCTGAAAAAGAGGTAGAGTCAGTGGATTGGGGTTTCCAGTGGAGTCACAATACTGGAGAGAATGAGCTGGAAAGATAGGAATATTTTAAGCTATTTGATGAAGTAGATCATACTTAGTGATATACATTCCTAGAAACCTCACCAATAGGGGTCATAAGGACAGCTTTCCCCAGTCCTTAAAAGAGCCCCTGGCGTTGGTACCATTCTGTCTGACTTAAAGGGTGTGAATACACTGGTCTACCGGTAAAGAACGTGTGTCTTTCATTTGTCAAGCCTCTCCTTGGTGGATAGTAATCTACCAACCGAAGTGGAGCCAGAGCTGCGCAGTTTCATTGCTAAGCGTCTTTCAAAAGGTGCAGTCTTTGAAGGGCTGGGTAATGTTGCATCTGTGGAGCTGAGGTAAGTGCAAAATGTGCTGTGTCCTGAGTTTTTATTTCTGAACTAAATATGAGAAGTGATAGAAACTCCAAAAGAGCAGCTCCTACTAGACCTGCAGAATTTCTTTGTTCTCTGGCAGCCCAAGCACGGGGCCTCACAAATAAAACATTTGTGGAATGAAATTAATTGAATGGCAGAGACCCTGGCACCCAAATGTACTTTATTTAATTAGTTTTATTTTTTTGAGACAGGGTCTTGCTTTGTTGCCCAGGCTAGAGTGCAGTGGCATGATTACAGCTCACTGCAGCTTTGACCTCCTGGGCTTAAGCAATCCTCTCAACTCAGCCTCCCAAGTAGCTGGAACTGCTGGCAGCTAATACCATGCCCAGCTATTTTTAAAATTTTTGTTTGTTTGTTTGTAGAATTGGGGTCCCACCATATTGCCCAGGCTAATAAGTTTTGTACTTAGAAGAAGAAAAGAGTAGATTATTAAAACTGAAAGTGTATACAGTTTGTAAAGTGTTTTCACAAACTTTGATGCAGTTCTCCTTACAAAGGGGAAATGTAGCAGATACTCTTATTTCCATTTTCAGATGAGGAAATAAACTCAGAGAAGTTTATGTAAATTTTCTGGTCAAATTGATGGAATTCAGGCTTAAACATGAGCATTCTCAGTCCAATTCCAACTGTCTTTCCATTACACCTCTTTATTATAGTTCAATTCAGACTGTGAAGTTAGCATACAGGTCCCCTCAGGAGTATGAGGCCACGTCCCAAGGATGAGGCCACCTGGCACATCTGCCTGAAGCATTAATTTGTGAAAGTTTGGGAGAGGGGAGAGCATGCTTTTATTTTTATTTATTTATTTATTTATTTTTGAGACGGAGTTTCACTCTTGTTACCCTGGCGCGATCTCAGCTCACCGCAACCTCCGCCTCCTGGGTTCAGGCAATTCTCCTGCCCCAACCTCCTGAGTAGCTGAGATTACAGGCACGTACCACCATGCCCAGCTATTGTTTCGTATTTTTGGTAGAGACGGGGTTTCACCATGTTGACCAGGATGGTCTCGATCTCTTGACCTCATGATCCACCCGCCTCGGCCTCCCAAAGTGCTGGGATTACAGGCTTGAGCCACTGCGCCCGGCCATGCTTTTATTAATATAAACATGGGTATGAACTAGAGTGAAATTTGTGTGACTTTTTCGCATAAGACAGGATAATTCAAAGAAATTTCATGGATGTTAGGGGCTGCTTTAACTAAAGCCCACCAGCGTATACATTTGTTTTTCTTTGCTGCTGCAAGTAAACCAACGAGAAGTCTGGGAAGCTCTGAATTAGTGGGCAGTTTAATGATGTTGCCAGATCAAGATGACTGGAATTCAGAGCAGTCTGCAAAACTATAGATGCATGAGTAACCAAAATAATACATTTTACCTTTTTCTTTCTTTTCTAGAATTCCAGGTTACCGAGTTGGTTGTTATTACTGCCTTTTCCAAAATGAAAAACTGCTTCCTGAAACAGTAACAATGGACTCTGAACATAACCCTTCAGAATATGTGGTCTGTTTTTTAGGAGGCTCTGACAAAGGACTTGAGCTATATCCTTTCTTTGGTTTTTGAGGACGTAAGGAAGGAAAACATGGGAAGGCAGGTGGAAGAATATTACTACCAACATCCAGAAAGCTTTTCTGCTCCTCGTATGTTTAATTGAATTTCATACCTTCATGTGGCCATTTTGCCTTGGCTTGTTTTCATTTGCAGCTTACATTATTTGAGAGCTTTTATATTTCTCCTTGAGAGACAAAATACTATCTTCATTATTCATCCTTTATTGCTTCCTTAAGAACATACTTTCAGGCTTGAATTGGACAAGTACATTCAAGGCCTGAAAAATAACATGAACTGTGAGGTAAGGTGACAGTGGTTTTTAAAGACTGAAATGATTAACATACTGTGATTGCTCTACTTGTCAAATCATATAGGTAGACACAAAGACATCTATATTCTAGAAACTTGCCACCCTGTGAGCTAGTAGAGAGGTGACTTTTTTTTTTTTTAAATGACAAGGTCTTGCTTTGTTGCCCAGGCTGGAGGGCAGCGATGTGATCAGGCTCACTGCAGCCTCAGCCTCTTGGGCTCAAGCGATCTTGTCACCTCAGCCTCCCAAGTAGCTGGGACTACAGGCACATACCACCACGCCTGGCTAACTTTTGGTATTTTTTATCAAGATGGGGTCTCATTTTGTTGCCCAGGCAGATCTAGGATTCCTGGCCTCAAGCAATCCTCCTGCTTCAGCCACCCAAAGTGCTGGGATTATAGGTGTGAGCCATTGTGCCCGGCTTACAGGTGGTTTCTTTTTCTTTTTCTTTTTTTATTTTTATTTTTTTGAGACAGGGTCTCACTCTGTCACCCAGGATGGAGTGCAGTGGCACGATCATGGCTCAACTGCAGCTTTTCTGGGCTCCAGTGATCCTCCCACCTCAGCCTCCCAAGTAGCTGGTACCTCAGGCATGCACCACCATGCCCTCTAATTTTTGTATTTTTGGTAGAGATGGGGTTTTGCCATATTGCCCAGGCTTGTCTTGAACTCCTGAGCTCAAGTAATCCACCCACCTCGGCCTCCCAAAGTGCTGGGATTACAGGTGTGAGCCACCGCGCCCAGCCTACAGGTGATTTTAAAGGGATATAGGGAACATAGTCCCATGAGTGCTGAAAGTTTTATAAGACTACTTCTGATGTTTTGTGTCTGTGGATAATTCTGTCTATTCAATGGCATGTAGTAACATGTCTGGTGAGGAAGAGGATGTCCTTTGCCTGATTTCTAGGCATATAAGATTTATATTATGGTCAGAAGTAGTGGTCCATGCAGCCTGTGGCACCAAAGACATGCTATGCAATAGTATTGTTCTTGAACTCAACATTGAAGATTCTTAGAGACACTCTATTTTCATTAATTGATCTTTTATGAATTAGGCATATCCATATTAACTAATTTATTCAAACCTTTTAAAAATTGGCTGTGTGTGGTGGCTCACTCCTGCAATCTCAGCACTTTGGGAGGCTGAAGCAGGCAGATCACTTGAGCCCAGGAGTTCAAGACCAGCCTGGGCAACAAAGTGAAACCTCATCTCTACAAAATAATGCAAAAATTAGCCAGGGATGGTGGCACCCACCTGTAGTCCCAGCTACTTGGGAGGCTGAGGTGGGAGGATCGCTCCAGCCTGGAAAGTTGAGACTGCAGTGAGCTGTGATTGCACCACTGAACTCCAGCCTGGATGACAGGGTGAGACCCTGTCTCAAAAAAGCAAACAAAAACAACGCTTTCAGCTTGCAGCAGCAGTTAGTCATGACTCTCACAAATTTACTACCCACTACCTATATAGTAGTAGTTTTACTTTTCACATACTTAGAAGATACTACAGGAGAGAGGAAAGGATAGTACAGGAGTGAGCAAGGGATGCAAGTCTAGGGGAGCTGTTCTTCGAGACTAGAGCTCCTCTTGTGTGACACTAGTCTCCAGAGAGCAGCATAGCCTAGAAAGCCAGATGTGCTTATGGCAGCCTGTCTGACATCTGGAGTGGGCTGGAGTGCTTTGATGAGTTACTTGTATCCTTCCCTATTCACATTCTGAATACGAATGAATTCTCTACCTGCATTTGTTTAGTCATTCATTAGATACTTAAGTTCATACTAGGCATGTTTTAGACACTGTACCACAGGTGCCGGGGAAATGAGAATTATTCAATGAGTATCTCCATTGAGTGCATGGTATAGTGGGAGGAGAGGGACACATAAATGCCCAGCTCTTCCTGGTGAAGAAATAACATAGAACCCTATTAATTCAGTCTCTTCATTTTATACATTCAGTACAGACTTAATCCTTACCCTACCCAACAAGCCAGGAAAAGTATATCACAATTTTTTTTTTGAATTGATGGTTTTAGCTTTAAAAAAGGAAGTGTCTATCCTGGTCTTTTTCAGCACCAAGGATATGATGAAGAAAATATTAAGTCCACTAAAAGGAAGGCTTATATTAAAGCAAATGACATTCTTTCTTGATTTAGGAAAGGGGCCTGGAGAGTCCTATAAAATCCTATCTGAGCAGCTGGTTTGAGGATGTTGTATGCCCAATCCAAAGGGTGGTTCTTCTGTTTCAAGAAAAGCTTACCTTTCTGCTACATGCTGTAAGTACTGTCCAAATGAGAGCATTTCCTTAACTGAGATCACTTTAGCTCATTTAGAAAAATACTCATTTTCTTTGAACATGACTCTACACCCCTTCCCAAAATATTCACTTAAACTATGCTTGCTATCCAGATAGACCACACTTTATTTTCTGAGATCTAGAAAGTTATATTACTAAGATAGAGTTGAATTACAAATGCTGACTGAGTCTTCCTAATGGGATAAAACATTTTAAAATAATTCCTTTTCAAAGTGATCTGGGAAAGGTATAGTTTCCAAAACAATTTGAAAAGGAAAACAAAAGTCCAAAGCAATTCTGATTCTATAAAAATGTTAATGAGCAGTGGCTGAACAAGACTGGAGAGCTTATGACTAGTGCCCACAATTGTCAAGTATGGTAAGGACTTTTGGGGACATTTAGTCATGAGAAGCTGCTCAAGAAAAACTGGAATATATGTACTGATCAGGCTTTATTTTTCTCTCATAGGCTTTGAGTTATACTCCTGTTGAAGTTAAAGAATCAGATGAAAAAACAAAGAGAGACATTAACAGGTAAAGAACACAGTTTTTTCACAGAGAAAAGCTTTTCCACAGCAAGAATGACATCTGTTTGTAAGCCAGCCCCACATCCCTTCCCCACCAGCCCAGTGCAAAATAAATTTGTTTTCACCCTTCTGTCCTGCAATATTGTTTGTGGAAATTGGCCTGTGTGTGTGGCAGGTTTTTGAGTGTGGCCAGTCTTCAAGGACTTATTCATGAAGGCACCATGACTTCTTTGTGCATGGCCATGACAGAGGAGCAGCATAAGTCTGTGGTCATCGATTGCAGTGGCTCCCAGCCTCAGTTCCACAATGCAGGTGAGCTGCAACCTCTGAAGCAGTCTTCCTAGATCTCTTGTGAGTCGCCATCTTTGCAGTGAGAGCATATGATACCTTCTTCCTGCCTTGTACAGTTTTACATGGTTATCTTAAACCATGAGAAACCACTTGCTGAAAACAATATAATTCTAGAAACATGGAAATCATGCCATGCCTAGCAATTCCACAGCTAGGTACGTAAAGAAATTATTGTATGTGTACACAAGGAGACAAATTTTTTTTTTTTTTTTTTTTTGAGATGGAGTTTTGCTTGTTACCCAGGCTGGAGGGCAATGGTGCGATCTCGGCTCACCGCAACCTCTGCCTCCTGAGTTCAAGCAATTCTCCTGCCTCAGCCTCCTGAGTCGCTGGGACTACAGGCACGCGCCACCATGCCCAGCTAATTTTTTGTATTTTTAGTAGAGATGGGGTTTCACCATGTTGACCAGGATGGTGTCAATCTCTTGACCTCGTGATCCACCTGCCTCAGCCTCCCAAAGTGCTGGGATTATAGGCATGAGCCACCACGACCGGCCAAAGAGACGAATTTTAAAATGTCCATAAAGGCTTTATTTGAAAAAAGGCAAGGAATTGGAAGCAACTTAAGTGTTTATCAAGAAAACTGATAAACTGCTATATTCATGCAATGGAATGTAACAGAGCAGTGAAAATGAATGAACTAGAGCTACATATGTCAATATAGCTCTCAAACATACTATTTAGTGAAATAGCCTCAAAGAAAAAATACATAAAAGTTTTAACATATGCAGAATAATGCAGATAAGGCTTACAGACGCAAAGGTATATGGCAGAAGTTTAAAAACATCTGTCGGAATGATCATCCTTTCTGATGGGAAAGGAAGGGGGATGTGATTGGGAAGGGGCATATAGGGGGCTTCAACCATTTTGGTATTCCTTAGCCATGTGGTGAGCACACTTTTTTTAGGCCATTATACAAGTCTTAAATAATTCATTATAGATGTTTTTATAAAGAAATATATGAATCGTGCTTTGTAAAATTTCATTTATTTAGTCTCTCTGAAATATTTTATAGGAAGTAACCGGTTTTGTGAGGATTGGATGCAAGCTTTTTTAAATGGTGCTGAAGGAGGTAACCCTTTTCTTTTCCGACAAGTACTGGAGAACTTTAAATTAAAGGTAATTAGTTGGCTGTGTGCCAATCGCCACATGAAGTTTTTGTCTGCATTTTAATTAGTACCAGTGACAGAGTAACAAATCTGCTTTATAGCTGTGATGTCTGTTAATTAGGATGTTCTCAACACTGGAATTATCAGAAGGCATTTACTTATTTTAATTTTTTGGTAGCTTCTGTATACATATCACCTGGAGTGCTCTTTTTTTTTTTTTTTTTTTTTGACAGAGTCTTACTGTGCCACCAGGCACCAGGCTGGAGTGCAGTGGCACAATCTCGGCTCACTGCAATTTCCGCCTCCTGGGTTCTAGCAATTCTCCTGCCTCAGCCTCCCAACTAGCTGGGACTACAGGCGCACGCCACCACATCCAGCTAATTTTTGTATTTTTTAGTAGAGACGGGGTTTCACCATGTTGGCCAGGATGGTCTCAATCTCTTGACCTTGTGATCCGCCTGCCTCGGCCTCCCAAAGTGCTGGGATTATAGGCGTGAGTCACGGCGCCCAGCCTCTGTGTACATATCATTTCTAATAAATTGCATTGAATACTTGCTTTCAACCCAATTTATTTAAGGAACATCAATCTTACAATTTGTGACTTACCTTAGTTGCAAAGCACAAAAAAAGTTCAGTGCCTAAGTTTTCAAAATTCTGGTGGGGGCTAGGCGCAGTGGCTGGCACCTGTAATCCCAGCACTTTGGGAGACCATGGCAGGTGGATTGCTTGAGGCCAGGAGTTCAAGACCAGCCTGGCCAACATGGCGAAACCCTGTCTCTACTAAAATTAGAAAAATTAGCGGGCATGGTGGTGCATGCCTGTAACCTCAGCTATGTTGGGAGGCTGGGGCACAAAAATTGCTTGAACCCAGGAGACAGAGGTTGCAATGAGGCCAGATTGTGCCACTGTACTCCAGCCTGGGTGACAGAGTGAGACTCTAAAAAAAAATTCTGATGGGGACAGAATTTCTGATATCACCTTATTTAGGAGTTTTTTTTGTTTGTTTGTTTTTATAACCTATTCTTTTTTTGAGGTAAATTTTATATTATTTATTTATTTATGAGACAGAGTTCCCTCTGTCACCCAGGCTGGAGTGCAATGGCGTGATCTCGGCTCACTGCAACAACCCCCACCTCCCGGGTTCAAGTGATTCTCCTGCCTCAGTCCCCCCGGTACCTGGGATTACAGGTGTGGGCCACCATGCCCAGCTAATTTTTATATTTTCAGTAGAACGGGGTTTCACCATGTTGGCTAGACTGGTCTCAAACTCCTGTCTTCAGGTGATCCATGCCCCTCTGCCTCCCAAAGTGCTGGGATTACAGGCGTGAGCCACTGTGCCTGGCCCATTTGTTTGTTTTAAGGACAGAATCTTACTCTGTCACTCAGGCTAGAATGCAGTGGTGCAATCATGGCTCATTGTATCCTTAACCTCCTGGGTTCAGGCCATCTTCCTGAGTAGCTGGAACTACAGGTATGCACCACCACACTTGGCTAATTATTTTTATTTTTTTGTAGAGATGGGGTCTTGCCAAGTTGACCAGGCTAGTCTCAAACTACCAGCCCATAAGCAGTCCTTTTGCCTGGGGCTCCCAAAGTGTTGGGATTACAGACGTGAGCCACCATGCTGGGCAGGAGATTTTTAAAGTATTTTTACTTTGTATAAGAGATTTTCGGCCAGGCCCGGTGGCTCAGGCCTGTAATCCCAGCACTTTGGGAGGCCAAGGCAGGTGGATCACTTGAAGTCAGGAGTTGGAGACCTGCCTGACCAACATGGTGAAACCTCGTCTCTACTGAAAATACAAAATTAGCTGGGTGTGGTGGCGCACACCTGTAGTCCCAGCTACTTGAGAGGCTGAGGCAGGAGAATCACTTGAACCTGGGAAATGGAGGTTGCAGGGAGTCGACATTGCGCCATTGCACTCCAGCCTGGGCAATAAGAATGAAACTCTGTCTCAAAAAAAGAGATTTTCTTCTACCAAGGGCAAAGCATACTACAATTTAAATTTTGGAAATATTTAATATGAAAAACTAACAATTCAGCAACTTATGTTGAGTTCTTACTGGACGGGAGGTATTTTTTGAGCTTCGTTAGTATTTCACTTAACACATTTTTAACTGGGTAATCGTTTTATCTGTTTCTAGGCCATACAAGACACAAACAATTTGAAGAGATTTATCCGACAGGCAGAAATGAATCATTATGCTTTGTTTAAATGTTACATGTTCCTAAAGAACTGTGGTAGTGGAGATATACTTTTGAAGATTGTTAAAGTAGAACATGAAGAAATGCCTGAAGCCAAAAATGTGGTAGCTGTCCTTGAAGAATTCATGAAAGAAGCTCTTGACCAAAGTTTTTGATCTTATGTTTTGAGATAATTGTATGATCAAGTTTTTATATTTGAGCCTTAGTGTTTGAGATTGCAGTTATAATTGTTCATAGGATTGCTTAAGATTATTTGAAACTCAAACCAGATTTTCTTTTCGTATTTTAACAATTTAACTTAAAAATCTGAGGAGCATCTTCGCTGAGTCTTAGATAGATATGTGTGTGAGAGTTGTGGAATTTTAGTGTCTCCCTGGCCTTGTAAATTCCAGGCTTCAGGAAGTTATTGCTTAAAAAATTTCAGAGATGATTTTGTTTGTGGCTTTTCTCAGGAGTTTGCTACAGTATTTAGCAACTTTTCTTCTCAGAAAAATCATAATACTTCTTTCTCAATGGATTGTAGCTTCTTAAAAAAAATGTAATCTTAGTCTTAGAACAGATTAATACCCCACTACACCATTTCAGACAGGTCTGTGCATCCTGTGGGTGCTGGATGCATTTTTTTGTCTAGTTGATAATGGCATGGCTAAAAGTCAGATTTAAGTCTATATGCAAATCCTGAGTATGTAAGAAATTAAATGAGCTTTAAAAATAGATATACTAGCTTTAGGAGAAAACATTATCTTTGAGAGAAAGCTACTGCAGAAGTCGCCCCTAGTCACTTTTTTTCATTCATTTGTCCACAGGCATTTATGAAGAGCCTGTGTTTTCTTTTAGGTGAAAATGCTGGCGTTTTAAAACAGTGTTGAGAAAAGAAAGTACATACAGTTTACAAGCAAACTGTAACATAAGGAATGCAAACAGAAGTTCTTCATATTTGAGTTAAACTCATTGATTTTAGGGTTTTTTTTGTGTGTGTGTGTGTTTTGTTTTGGTTTTTTTTTTTTTGAGATAGAGTCTTGGTCTGTTGCCCAGGTTGGAGTACAGTGGCACCATCTCGGCTCACTGCAACCTCCACCTCCCAAGTTCAAGCAGTTCTTTCCCTCAGCCTCCCGAGTAGCTGGGATTACAGGCACCCACTACCGTGCCTGGCTAATTTATTTTTATTTTTGTTTTTTAAGTAGAGATGGAGTTTCACCATCTTGGCCAGGCTGGTCTTGAACTCTTGACCTCGTGATCCACCCGCCTTGGCCTCCAAAGTACTGGGATTATATGTGTGAACCACTGTGCCCGGCCTGATTTTAGTTTTTTGTACATTTCTTACAAGCCTCAGATTGTGGTACTCTGAATCAATTGAAAGTGCCCTCAGCTAGCCATTTACAATTCCCATGGAAGCCTATGTAGCTACACACATATGATTGCAATTGCTTGGCATAGCTCTTTAATACATTCATTTGATAATGATTTTTGCATAGAAGAACAGAAGCCTTGTGTTCTCACTTCCCTCAGGATGCTCAGAGAAGCACAAACCCATAAAACTGAGGAATCCTTTCTTAAATGGATCTAAATTCACATTAAGTGCTGAGTTTTAACATTCAAAATGACTGACAATGGCCCTCTGCCTTCTCTACATAAGCCTTGGGACATGACTCACCAAGCATTTCTTTTCCTTTAATGAGAAATACAATTCAGGATCTTCATAAATGCTTTCATATGGTTTTAAACTTTAATAACTTGGATTGTAGGCAGTATAGAAAAAAATCTAAGTAGCATTTTTCATAGTATTAAAGTCAAGGTGGCTGAGTGCGGTGGCACACACTGAATCTCGGCACTTTGGGAGGCTGAGGCAAGTGGATCACCTGAGGTCAGGAGTTTGAGACCAGCCTGACAAATATGGTTAAAACCCCATCTCTACTAAAGTTAAAAAAATTAGCTGGGCGTGGTGGTGTGTGCCTGTAGTCCCAGCTATTTGGGAAACTGAGGCAGGAGAATAGCTTGAAGAACAGAAGTCTTGTGTTCTCACTTCCCTCAGAGAAGCACAAACCCTTAAAACTGAGGCTGCAGTGAGCTGAGATTGTGCCACTGCACTCCAGTCTGGGCGACAGAGCGGGACTCCATCTCAAAATAAATAAATACAGTCAGAGTGACTAAGGAAAACCAGCAATTTTACGACACTATCATTGCATCTGACTCTCTTTTCCCAATGTAGTTGGTTGCCCACTTGGAAATCATTTTTTGAGTAAGCAACATTAACACATCAACATTTTCAGTCTGAAAAAATACTTCATTTTCAAATTCATGTCATTCAAGAGTCTGTGCTGCAAATGTCATTTAAAAGCAAAAGTGTTACCTGCTTCAAATCATTTGTGGACATATGTAAGGTGTACTTATATATTCTGTGTGTTTGTACATGTTTTTGTAATATAGGCTTACTACATTACACAGCTCTGTATGATAGTTTTATTTTATATGTATACTTTTTTTTTTTGAGACGGAGTTCTGTCGCCTAGGCTGGAGTGCCGTAGCGTCATCTCGGCTCACTGCAACCTCTGCCTCCTGGGTTCAAGGGATTCTCCTGCCTCAGCCTCCAGAGTACCTGGGACTACAGGTGCGTGCCACCACACCCAGCTAATTTTTGTATTTTTAGTAGAGACAGGGTTTTACCACGTTGGCCAGGATGTTCTCAATCTTTTGACCTCGTGATCCACCCACCTCGGCCTCCAAAGTTCTGGGATTACAGGCATGAGCCACTGCACTTGGCCACATTTTTGTTTTTTAATGAAATGGGCTCTCACTATGTTGCTCAGACTGGTCTTAAACTCTTGGGCTCAAGCAGTCTTCCCACCTCGGTCTCCCAAAGTGAGCCACTGTGCCCAGCCTCTGGTAGTCTTATTTAAAAAAAAAAAAAAAAAGTGTAACAAATTTTTTTTTAAAGTATGTCACTACTAAAGACAAGGAAAATGGGGTCATGGAACTGAATATCTTGGTCATGAGAAGAAACCACAGAGCTCATGACTAGAAACATGTACTATATTCAAATTTTAATAAGCTATCTTGGCTTTGAAAGTTTTCTTGTTTTTCTTTTTGAGATGGAGTTTTGCTCCTGTTACCCAGGCTGGAATGCAATTGTGTGATCTCAGTTCACCACAACCTCCACCTCCTGGGTTCAAGCAATTCTCCTGCCTCAGCGTCCTGAGTAACTGGGATTGCAGCCGTGTGCCACCATGACTGGCTAATTTTTGTATTTTTAGAAGAGACAGGGTTTCTCCATGTTGGTCAGGCTAGTCTTGAACTCTCGACTTAAGGTGATCCACCTGCCTTGGCCTCCCAAAGTGCTGGGATTAATAGGCGTGAGCCACTGCACCTGGCCATGGCTTTTAAAGTTTTAAAAAGGATTTGTTCAGACATGGAATACATTTATGTATATTACTTGTGAGCCATACACACAGAGGAAATGTATATTTGTCATGTATGAAAAATGGCTTCAGTTCATCTGTAATTAATTTGTAATTATAATAATAAAACTTAGCTTCTCATCAAGACAATTATTTTTATGTAATGAGCTCAATCCTCAGGCCTAACATTTGTATTTCCAACAAGTTTGTAAGGAAATTATACTTGTTATACTAAGGCATTTGTTGAAGAAAATCAAATCACTTGCCGGAATATACCTTTCTGCTTCTTGCAGGAGGAGGCATCAAGCAGAATCTAAGAGCAATTTTCCTAACAATGTTTTATTCATTGTCCAGTAGAGTTATACCCGTAGAACTTAATAACCCAAGTCACTTTCTTTCACTCTCATTCATTATTCACCATGACAGAATGCCTGTCCTCTACCAGAGGATCCCTCCAACTAGGTGCCTGGAAAGCCTGTGGGCTTCCTGGAAATAAGAGGCAGCTACTAGGACCACACTTTCTAACCGTGTGTCTTCTCAGTTAATGGAAACCCTGCTGGCTTCAATGAAGTCTTTCCACTTGGAGGTCTGAGACAGCAGCCCAGTTCTCTTAAATGCTAAAGTTCTTAAATGTGGCTGGGTATGGTGGCTCAGGCCTGTAATCCCAGCACTTTGAGAGGCCAAGGCAGGAGGACTGCATGAGCCTAGGAGTTTGAGACCAGCCTGGGCACCACAGTGAAACCCCATCTCTACAAAAAATAAAATTAGCAAGATCTGGTGGTATGTGTCTCCCCAGCTACTCAGGAGGCTCAGGCTGGAAGATCGCTTGAGCCCGGAGCTCAAAGTAACTGAGCTATGATGATTACATCACTGCACTCCAACCTGGGCAACAAAGTAAAACCCTGTCTCAAATATAAAGAAATAGGCCGGGCGCGGTGGCTCAAGCCTGTAATCCCAGCACTTTGGGAGGCTGAGGCGGGTGGATCACGAGGTCAAGAGATCGAGACCATCCTGGTCAACATGGTGAAACCCTGTCTCTACTAAAAAAATACAAAAAACATTAGCTGGGCATGGTGGCACGTACCTGTAATCCCAGCTACTCCGGAGGTTGAGGCAGGAGAATTGCCTGAACCCAGGAGGCGGAGGTTGCGGTGAGCCGAGATCGCGCCATTGCACTCCAGCCTGGGTAACAAGAGCGAAACTCCGTCTCAAAAAAAATAAATAAATAAAAATTTTAAAAATAAATAAATAAATAAATAAAATAAAGAAATAGGCCGTGTGTGGTGGCTCACGCCTTTAATCCCAGCACTTTGGGGGATCGAGGAGGGTTGATAACCTGAGGTTGGAAGCTCAAAACCAGCCTGACCAACATGGAGAAATCCTGTCTCTATTAAAAATATAAAATTAGCTGGGTGTGGTGGCACATGCCTGTAATCTCAGCTACTCAGGAGGCTGAGGCAGGAGAGTTGCTTGAACCCAGGAGGCGGAGGTGGTGGTGAGCTGAAATCACGCCATTGCACTGCAGCCTGGGCAATGAGCAAAACTACATCTCACACACACAAAAATTACATATATATATATGTAAAAACAAAGTGCCTACATGTGTTTTTTTTTGTTGTTGTTGTTGTTGTTTTGAGACAGGAGTCTTACTCTGTTGCCAGGCTGGAGTGTAGTGGCGTGATTTCAGCGCACTGCAGCCTCCGCCTCTCAGGTTCAAGTGACTCTCCTGCCTTAGCCTCCTGAGCAGCTGGGACTACAGGCATGCACCACCATGCTTGGCTAATTTTGTATTTTTAGTAGAGATGGGGTTTCTCCATGTTGGCAAGGCTGGTCTCGAACTCCTGACCTAAGGTGATCCACCCACCTTGGCCTCCCAAAGTGCTGGGATTACAGGTGTGAACCACCGTGCCCGGCCCTTCATTTCTTAATTACCTTATTATTGGGAAGTGCCTTATTAATGTATTGAAGAATGAGAATCTAGTATTAACAGAAGGGAAGAACCAGGAAAGTAAAAAAGGGAGTGAGAGGAGGCAAAGGCAAAGAGAATTCAACAGCTTCTGGCTCTCCAAGGAGCTTGCCTTTATTATTTTTTTATTTTTATTATTTATTTTTTGAGACAGGATCTCATTCTGTCACCCAGACTGGGGTGCAGTGGCAGGATCTCAGCTCACTGCAACCTCTGCTGCCCAGGCTCAAGCAATTCTCGTGCCTCAGCCTCCTGAGTAGCTGGGACAACAGACATGCACCACTACCGCCTGGCTAATTTTTGTATTTTTAGTGGAGACAACGTTTCACCATGTTGGCCAGGCTTGTGTCGAACTCCTGACCTCAAGTGATCCACCTGCCTTGGCCTTCCAAAGTGCTGGGATTACAGGTAACAGCCACCATACTGGGCCCATATATAAACTTTTTTTTTTTTTTTTTTTTGAGACAGAGTCTCACTCTGTCACCAGGCTAAAGTACAGTGGTGTGATCTCTGCTCAATGCAACTTCTGTCTCCTGGGTTCAATCGATTCTCCTGCCTCAGCCTTTTGAGTTACTAAGACTACAGGCATGCGCCACCACACCTAGCTCATTTCTGTATTTTTAGTAGAGGCGGGGATTTCACCATGATGGCCAGGATGGTCTCGATCTCTTGACTTCATGATCTGCCCTCTTCAGCATCTCAAAGTGCTGGGATTACAGGCGTGAGCCACTGCACCCAGTCAGTACATATGCATTTTTATGGGAAGAGAAATCATAGCTTTTATCAGCTACCCAAAATAGTTCAGTGATTTGAGAAAAGTAAGATGCACAGAGCTACAGACTGGTGCCAAGCACTGATGCCCCGATCTGTATTTTATAGAAATCCTACATCCACCACTGCTGCTGTTCCTCTCCCACCCACCCTGACCCAGACCCAGATGAAACAGGCCCTAATACCAGCCCTTCAGGTCACTTCCTGAATAACCAATGGCTTGGAAAAAAAAAATCTTTAATGGAATCTGTGCTCAAATAATATGTTACAACAAAAATATACAGAATGTACACAATACAAAAATACTTAGAAACTAACATTGCAGTTTGTGTTTTGTTTTTTCCACTTACTCAAGTCCTTGGAGGGGCAGTTCACCGAGGGGCACCGTTTTTAAGGCAGAGGAGAACCGTGCTTTCCAGCCAGCACCGGAAGCAACATGAGTGATGCCAGGAAAGGGCTTCAGGGCACGCAGGGAATCTGCATTACGTATTTGCAAATTAAATTGGACACTTGGGGAAGACCTTGGCTTGGTGAGCAATGGCTCCCCTAATCCTCTGGGCAAGAATGGTTCTCATCGAAATCGAGAGTCCTATTAGCTGGCAAACAAGCCTCATTAGGGAGCTTTTCCTAATTAAAAAATGAATGATGAATGGTGTCATTAAAGCGAAATTTCTCCTTTGAAGGTTTGTTTTCCCTTCCCCAGCTTCTGTGATTCCTCTCCCGTTTAATGAGCGAGCCAGTGAGTCTGCGGCTGCTGTTTGGGGATTCCCCAGCCTTTAGTTTCTGTATGCTGTGGATAAAAGGCCGACCTACCTCCACCAGCCTGAAGATATATACACCACCCTCCAGGCAGCAGCCAGCTGGGATAAGGAAGGAGGCAGGGAGGACATGGCCAGCCTTGGCCAGGGGAAGTGCTACTGGGAGGGTAGTGGGACCTGCTGAGGAGAAAGCCAGATGCCACCAAGTGAACCCCTCTGACCATACAGCTGCCTCCCGACCTGAGGAGAGGCCTGGGTCCGGTGAAGTGACCCTATGACTCCAGCCTGTGGCTCTGCTTAGAAGTCATGGTTAGAAGAGGTGGTGGAGGTGGGTGCACTGACAGGGAATGGCTGGGGCTGCTGGTCTAAGGTGTAGATGAGGGTCCCTGGTAGCAGAGGACACACTTAACATGGTGGGAGACACGATTCTGCCTCCACTGTCTTTCTCATAACAAGCTTTCGTGCGAGGCCCCGAGAGAACTCAGTGCTTCTTTGAGGGCTTTCTAGAGTCTTCTAGTTCATTGCCTTCTTGCCCCTAAGAGAGGAAGCCCCCTCTCCAGGTCATACCAGACAGAGGTGGCACTCTGCTTATTCCACTCATAACCTAGAAGCCCCAGAGGCCAGGACAGGAATCTGGAGGGGATTCTCCGCCCTCCAGGAAGGGACCACATGGCTCCTAGGCTTACTACAGCTGCAGCCCAGGGCAGAGGCAGCAAAGTCCTGGCCTCTTCTGCATCCTCCCCTGATCGAGCCCAGCTCCACAGCCTCAGACCCTCCTCCTCTAGGTGCTGACTCTTCCATCTACACCTTTCTATCATTAGGGCAGAGAACAGCAGGCAGGGCACACACGAGACAGCCCAGGCTGATGCAACTCCACCCAAGACATGACCCCATAGTGCCTCAGACTGCCACCCGCAGCACCACACTGGCCGGGGAAGCTAGTTAGCGTTGGGCTAAGATGGGGAAAAGCTGGGCCTAGCCTGCCAGTGTGTGAGTGAGCCCTATTATATGTACTCTATTATATGAAGCCACCATTCCCCAAGACCCCAAATGCCTGGCCCGAGTAACCCTGGACTTTGTGGCACTCAAGGGCTGGGATGGGCATGAGGCTGGAGGACGACAGTCCCCATGCTCCTGCCTCTGTTTCTGGATGAGCCCAGCCCCTCTGCCTCCTCCCAGGCCTGGTGTTCTTTGTTCTTTTGGACTGTCAGTGGTTGAGAATTCCAAGAGCCCAATAAAGGGAGTATCACTTTTTTGGTCAAAGATCATCCTCATGCCCTCCATTTGGGGCCTGCACCAGCTCCTGTTAGGAGGGTCATTCTTGCAATCTCGTTTTCTCACCTGTGAGATGGGGTGGGTGGAGGTGATAACCGCCATGTTCTCTCCTGCAGCCAAGTCTCTGAGCTTACTGGCTGCCCTCCCACTCAGGCCCAACCACGCACCCAGCAATTCTCCTGAGGCAAAGTTTTCCACCTAGATTGGAATTCCTCTTCCTATAGCCTCCTGTCCCAACTCAAATGGACACGTGGCCTCAACAGTCCTACCCCAGCCTCTCTTGAGCCCCCAAAGCTCCTTCTCTCCTAAGGGAGACAGGACGGAAACCTTTTGGATACGAAGGACATCCCAGAGGGAAACAAGAGCTGAACCTGGCAAACCTCAGCATCTGGGGATCCCAGAGGAGCTAAGCTCTTCCTCCAGCAGGGCCATTCTGCCGCCCGTCAGTGATGCTCAGGGGCAGGTGTGGAAGGGACAGGAGATGGGAAAGAAGGGGACAGGCTTTGTCAGGCAAGGACAGTCAGCAACCACAGCACACCATGGTCTCCCACCTTGCACCGACGCCCATATGACCCCCTGCATCTGCTGTGCCTTCTCTGCAGGCGCTGACTTGCCTCAATTGCCTTTCCCATCACACACGCATGCACACATGCACACACATATCAAAACTGTCTCCATAACCAAAGAGAGGCACGAAGTAGGGTCAGGGCAGCAAAAGGAAAGAAAAAGACCCTAAAGCTAGGCTGGGCACAGAGGCTGGGGCACCAGTGTGAGATGCCAACATTCTAGAAGAAAGGGAGGGAGAAGTCTAAAGCTGGTCCTGGGTCTGTCTTCTCCAGGGTGGAACTTGGGATGATGTTTATTCCCCCTGCTTCTTTCCCTCTCACTGGGTACCCCCAGGGCAAGGGGGGCCTGGAGCCTACAGCCTCCCTGCTCTGCCCAGCCCTGGCACAACAGACCATGCCCCAGTGCCCACTGACCAGCCCAGGAGGGCACCCTGGTTTCAACCAGGTCACAGCTGACATGTCCAGTAGGTCCTCTTTTTATCAGAGCTCCAGACCCAGCAGCTGTGGAGGGGACACCACATGGCCTGCAATTATCTCTGAGCTAGAGATTGGCCATGCCTGGCCGCAACAACCCTTGGGTCTTCCCGAGTCTCTCAGGGTCTCTGAGGGTAGAGGATGAGGAAGACGCTGCTGCACTGAGGGGCACCCCTGGCCCTGCGGAACAAGCCCAGCCCAGGGGAGGGAGGGCCAGTCTCCCCCCACTCCAGACTTTCACTCTGGCCCCACGTCATCAGAGCAGCCTAGAAAAACGACAGTAGCCACATCACCTCCTCCACCAGGTGCCTTTCAGAAAAAGGTCTCCACTGTCCAAATCTAAACAAACAATACAGTGGCCCAGAGTCTTCTGTCCTCGCCTGCCCGGCCTTGCTGAGCTGGTGATGAGAAAAAAACTTGCAGGCGCTCCCTGTGGGTGCTGCTTTTCCCTCCCCTCCCCTACCTTGGGCCTCCAGCCCTCAGGGGGGAGGCGGCAGCTTCAGGTCCAGCAGGGTGTAGGCAAAGATGTTCCAGAAGATGGCGAACAGCACGAAGACAGTGTACATGGCCACAAAAATCCACCACAGTGACTGGTCCTGCAGCCTCTGCTCGTAGTTCCTCAGGACCACCACGCCCAGGGTGATGCCCACAGCCACGCCACCCAAGTGTGCCACGAAGCTTGGGTGAGGGCAGGGGGGATAGGCCGACGGGTGGAAGCGGAGCCACACGGCCCGCCCAAACTCCATGCTCACTGAAAGGGGAGGAGGCAAAGAGAGGTCACTGGAGAGCCATGAGCCAGGGCTGAGGGAGGGGCCTTCACATCATCACCTGCCCATGAATTCATTCCCTATTAGGCCAAGCACCATTCTCTGCACTGGGGACACAGTAGTGACAGAGACAGGCAAACCTCTGTTCTCCCAGAGCTTACAGGGTCTGGCAATAAACCAGTAAGCAATGACGTACATAAGATAATTTCCGGAAGAGACATCTATCAGGGGAAACAGGTGATGTAAAAGCAATGCCTGGCTTAAGGAGGGGAATTCTTTAGCTTGGGGAGTTATACAAGACCTCTCTAAAGAGGTGACATTTGGCCAGGCACGGTGGCTCATGCCTGTAATCCCAGCACTTTGGGAGGCCGAGGCGGGTGGATCACCCTGAGGTCAGGAGTTTGAGACCAGCCTGGCCAACATGGAGAAACCCTGTCTCTACTAAAAATACAAAAATTAGCTGGGCATTGTGGCAGGCTCCTGTAATCCCAGCTACTTGGGAGGCTAAGGTAGGAGAATTGCTTGAACCCAGGAGGTGGAGGTTGCAGTGAGCTGAGATTGTGCCACTGCACTCCAACCAGGGCAACAGAGCAAGACTCTGTCTCAAAAAAAAAAAAAAAGAAAGAAAGAAAAGAAAAGAAAACCCAGACCCAAACAAATTGCTGAATTCATCCCTTAACAGATTCTTTTTGTTGTTCTTGTTGACACAGGTCTCACTCTAGGCTGGAGTACAGTGCCACCATCACAGCTCACTGCAGCCTCAACCTCCTGGGCTCAGGTGATCCTCCCAAGAAACTGGGACTAGAGGCACCCACCACCACATTTGGGTAATTTGGAAAAAACTTTTCCGTAAAGATGAAGTCTTACTATGTTGCCCAGGCCTGAACTCCTGGACTCAAGTGAGTCTCCTGCCTCAACCTCTCAAATTGCTGGTATTACAGGCATGGGCCACCACACCCAGACCCTTAACAGATTCTAAGATGCCTTCATCCTGATCTCCAAACCATGCTTCTTTCGTGAACTTCTTGGGTCAGCCAGTCAAGTGGGGGTGAGACTCTTGAAAGGAAGGGCGCTAGGAAACTGCCATCCCATTATCAACTACCAAAAGAACACTGAGGGTAGGTATTCTTATTCCCATTTGACAGATCAGAAAACCAAAGCAAATCTGACATTGAAAAAAAGCCCTTCAGGCCGGGCGCGGTGGCTCACGCCTATAATCCCAGCACTTTGGGAGGCCGAGGCGGGTGGATCACGAGGTCAAGAGATCGAGACCATCCTGGTCAACATGGTGAAACCCCGTCTCTACTAAAACTACAAAACATTAGCTGGGCATGGTGGCACGTGCCTGTAATCCCAGCTACTCAGGAGGCTGAGGCAGGAGAATTGCCTGAACCCAGGAGGTGGAGGTTGCGGTGAGCCGAGATTGCGCCATTGCACTCCAGCCTGGGTAACAAGAGCGAAACTCTGTCTCAAAAAAAAAAAAAAAAAGAAAAAGAAAAAAAGCCCTTTGAGGGAAATTTTGTACCTATTTAGCTACCAGTTAATCAGCCAGGCCACCTCTCTCCACCCTAACCACTGTAGGGGTGCCAGAACCTCGAGGGAGCTTCATTCCCCTTGGGGTTGCCCACCCTTCTGGGCTGAGCTCTGCAACTCCAAGGATGGCCAATAGATGGCAGAAAAGGTGCGTCCAGGGATGGGCCCTCCACCCTCCCCTCTCCCAACCCTGTCCTGGGACAGCCTTCAAGCCTTGGCTCCCCAGGTCCAGGGTTTGATAAAGGAGGTTTGAAAGATGATAGTCTCCAACTCTGAAACAGCATTTTAGTTTTTATGACGCTTACAGTGGATTTTAAAAAAACCAAAAACAAACAAACGACTCATGCTTCTCTTTTCTTCCTCAAAAATGAACAAACTCAGGCTGGGTACACTGGCTCACGCCTGTAATCCCAGCACTTTGGGAGGCCGAGGTGGGTGGATCACAAGGTCAGGAGTTCAAGACCAACCTGGCCAAGATGGTGAAACCCCATCTCTACTAAAAATACAAAAATTAGCCGGGTGTGGTGGCACACGTCTGTAATCCCAGCTACTTGGGAGGCTGAGGCAGAGAATTGCTTGAACCCAGGAGGCGGAGGTTGCAATGAGCCAAGATCCTGCCATTGCACTTCAGCCTGGGTGACAGAGCGAGACTCCATCTCAAAAAAAAAAAAAAACAAAAAACGAACTCAGAGCCCAAGCAGATGCAGAAGCTATGCCACCCATTGCCACCCCACTGCACCCTACTGCCCCGACTCAAGGAGTCCTTGGGTTTTAAGGCTGGAAGTTTCTTGCTGGAATGAGAGATCCTCCAGTTCCATCCAGGAAACTGAGATCCAGAGAGCCTCACAGAGGATCAGGGGTAGACCCGATTTCCTGAAAGCCCTGGGGTAAGAGGCAAGAAAGGTGGATGTGAATTGAAGTGGAGCCCTCACAGGCCTGACCCTCTGCCCCAGGTTTGTTCGGACTCAGTCTTCCTCTTACCTACACAGCAGGTGGCTGACCCAGGTGGAGAAAGCCCAGGTGCTTACTGCCCAGCTTGGCTAACACGTGGAGCATTTCAAACAGCACAGGCTGGTTCTGAATTGTGGCTTTATCACTTCTTAGCTGGGTGACCATGGACAAGGAACCTAATTCTCAGAGCCTTGAGTTTCTATGTATAAATTAAGCTAATAATAATACCCTTTTTAGGTGGGTCTGGAGGACTGGATGAAAATGTGCTCACTCCCTCTTCTTCCCTCATTGCCTTTTTTTCTTTTCTTTTTTTTTTTTTTTTTTGAGACAGAGTCTTACTCTGTCACCCAGGTTGGAGTGCAGTGGCACAATGTTGGCTCACTGCAACCTCCACCTCCCAGGTTCAAGCAATTCTCCTGCCCTGGCTTCCCGAGTAGCTGGGACCACAGATGTGCGCAACCACGCCTAGCTAAATTTTTGTACTTTTCGTAGAGATGGGGTTTCACCATATTGGCCAGGGGGTCTTGAACTCCTGATCTCGTGATCTGCCCGCCTCAGCCTCCCAAAGTGCTGGGATTACAGGTGTGAGCCACCATGCCCGGTCTTTTTTTTTTTTTTTTTTTTAAAGGCAGGGTCTCACTCTGTCACTCAGGCTGAAGTGCAGTCGCATGATCATAGCTCACTGCTGCCTCGAGCTCCTGGGCTAGGCCTACAGGCACAAGCTACCATGCCTGGCTGGTTTTTAATTTCTTTCTTTTTTGTTTTTTGTAGAGACAGGGTCTTGCTATGTTCCCAAGACTGGTCTTGAACTCCTGGGCTCAAGAGATCATCCTACTTCAGCCTCCCAAAGTGCTGGGATTACAGGCATGAGCCACAGTGCATGGCCCCTACCTTTATTGCTTCTGTTCAGACTCATCTCTTTTGATCTCAGAAAGAGCCCTTTGGCCTCTGGTCTTATCCTCCTTGTTCCCACAATCTATTTTCCACACTGCAGCCTGTCTGGTTTTTCTAAAATTCTGGTTATCCATCAATAACTCTCTTGTTGAAAGCCCTCCAGTGGCCACCCAGAGAATGCAGGGTGAAGTACTTTTTCTTTTCTCAGCATTCAAAGCCCTTAATAATCAGACTCCTCCTATTTCATTAACTTCATCTCTGATCAAAATCATACACAGTCCCAAAACTAATTCTTTGGTTTCACTAGCCAACTCGCTGGCCATGACCCTTCACCCATCTATGTGTTAGTTCAGGCTGCAGCTTTGCCTGAAATGTCCTCTTGCACCGTGTTTACTTGGTGAACACCTGTCTGCCTAACACTCAGAATGACCTCTGAAGGTAGAACTCAGCTCTCCCAACTAGGGCCCTGAAGACATCCTGTTCCTAGGGATTCTTGGACTAGTTACAGTTTGTGAACCTGCTAAAACTGCAGATTTTGACATGTGTGTGTGTGCACAAGAATACACATATATGTATTTTTCTGATGATGGGGTCTTGGACTTTCAATAAGGGATCTCAAAGGATCAGTTCCATGACCAAAAAGGTTAGGAAGTTATTTGTCTTGATCTGAATGCTCGTCCTTAACCACTTTTCTGTTTGCATATTATATGTCAATAAAAAGAGGAAAAAATAGGCTGGACCCAGGCACAGTGGGCTCAAGCCTGTAATCCCAGTACTTTGGGAGGCTGAAGCAGGCAGATCACCTGAGGTCAGGAGTTCGAGACCAGCCTGGCCAACATGGTGAAACCCCATCTCTATAAAAAATACAAAAAGGTAGATGGGCATGGTGGCATGCGCCTGTAATCCCAGCTGCTTGGGGGGTTGAGACAGGAGAATCGCTTGAACCTGGGAGGCGGAGGTTGTGGTGAGACGAAATCATGCCACTGCACTCCAGCCGGGGCAACAGAGTGAGACTCTGTCCCAAAAAAATAGGCTGGGCATGGTGACTCCCATCTGTAATCTCAGCAACTTGAAAGGCCAAGGCAGGAGGATTGCTTGAGCCCAGGAGTGCAACACCAGCCTGGGAAACATGGCAAGACCCCTATCTCTGCAAGAAATTTTAAATAGCCAGGCATGGTGCCACACATGTATAGTCCTGGCTACTTGGGAGGCTGAGGAGGGAGGATCACTTGAGCCCCGGCAGGAGTTTGATGCTGCAGGCAGCTATGATTGTGCCACTGCATTACAGCCTGGATGATAGAGGGAGACACCCTGTCTCAAAAAAAAAGAAAAAGAAAAAAATATATATTTTTTTTTTCTTTGTTTTTTCTAAGATGGAGTTTCACCATGATGGCCAGGCTGGTCTTGAACTCCTAACCTCAGGTGATCCACCCACCTCGGCCTCCCAAAGTGCTAGGATTACAGGCGTGAGCCACCATGCCCAGTCATGTATATATAAACTTTTTTTTTTTTTTTTTTGAGACGGAGTTTCACTCTTGCTACCCAGGCTGGAGTGCAATGGTGCGATCTCGGCTCACCGCAACCTCCGCCTCCTGGGTTCAGGCAATTCTCCTGCCTCAACCTCCTGAGTGCTGGGATTACAGGTACGCGCCACCATGCCCAGCTAATGTTTTTTGTATTTTTAGTAGAGACGGGGTTTCACCATGTTGACCGGGATGGTCTCGATCTCTTGACCTCGTGATCCACCCACCTCGGCCTCCCAAAGTGCTGGGATTACAGGCTTGAGCCACCGCGCCCGGCCTTAAACTTTTAAAAAATAGATAAATAAGGCCGGGCAAGGCAGCTCATGCCTGTAATCCCAGCACTTTGGGAGGCCGAGGTGGGCAGATCACAAAGTCAAGAGATCGAGACCATCATGGCCAACGTAGTGAAACCCCATCTCTACTAAAAAAAACACAAAAAATTAGCTGGGCATGGTGGTGAGCACCTGTAGTCCCAGCTACTCGGGAGGCTGAGGCAGGAGAATCACTTGAACCCAGGAGGCGGAGGTTGCAGTCAGCCAAGAGCACGCCACTATACTCCAGCCTGGCGATAGAGCAAGACTCAGTCTCAAAAAAAAAAAAGAGATAAATAAACAAAAGATGAATGTTACGAAGCAGCACAGCAGTACAGACAGCTCTCACAACAGCCTTATATTTTTTGCACATTATTGACATGTCCCACTTTTTTTTTCTTGACCACAAGCCCATGAAGGGCAGGTACTGTGCCATCTTTGAACCCCACAGCCTAGCGCCAGGCTTTCGTCCCCTAGCTGCCCCATCAATACTTACTACAGATCAGGGCCACAGCCATCCGCAGCAGCTTGAACTGACACTTCATGCCTGACCAGTTCTAGGGAAAAAGGAGAGAGTTCAGTCAGTTCCAGATTAGACCACTCCTCTGCCGGTATGTCTTGCTTAAGACAATCTGACATTAAAATAATGGTGTCTATGAGGTCCTGAATGAGAGGGTTGTGGCTTAGTAGCAGAATACACCACATGGCTGAGATTTTAGGCACCAGCAAGTTTACTTCAGTCATAAAAGCTCCTGAGCTGGACTAACATAGGAAGAGACTCCAGATCTAGGAAAAGGAGAGGCCGTCTAATCTAAATGGACAGAGAACATCTGAGAGCTGCATTCATTGCTGGGCTCCATGGTTGCAAAGGAAGCAGGGCAGCCAACCAAGCAAAGTCAAAGCAGAACCACCAGGATGATAAAAGAGCCCCAAATCCCACAAATGAGGAATGAATGGGGAAGCCAGGATCTTTTAGCTCAAAGAAGAGAAGACTCAGGGGTCAAGTTCATTGTTGTCAAATATCAAATGAGTCAACACAAGGAAAGGGCACATTCGATTCAGGGTAACCTGCAAGCAGAAGACTTGCAATGGATGAAAACTTCAGAGAGAGACTTTTTAGCTCAGAGTAAGTTTCCATTTCTAATAAGCAGAGCTCTCCAGAGATAGAATGATCCATCTTGCAGGGGTTGTGAGTTTCCCACCATCGGGGGTTTCACATCACTGGAAAGGATGCTCCAGAGGAGAACTGGGTGCTAGAGAAGGGGTGGGCCAGGTGGCCTTCAAACAACTCCCTCTCTCCCCCGAGAATCTCAGAGAACTCGGAACCTCCAAAGCAGATAAACAGTACAGTTATTCACCTTACAAAAGGACTTTTCACTTTACAAAAGGCTTCCCCACAGGGTTCCTTTGAGAGGCACTCCTGCAGTGCATTCAAAGCACTATACCATTTATACAAAGGTGTCCATGCACAGAAATGAGCCCAGAATCTTCCTGGAACACATCAGCCCCAGGGAAGGAGGGCACAGCCAGGGGACTTTCGTTCCCTCCCACCCACCCAATCCGCCTTTGCTGCCTGGCTCAGGCCCAGCTCAGGGGGCACGTCTGGCACTTCTTTGAGGTTGCAGGAACGTCTGTGAAACTTTACAGAGGCCCTGAACACTGGCACAGATAATAACATCTATGAAAGCTTCAGTCAGGCAAGCAGGACACAGAGCAGATGCCAAAGAGGGGGAAATCCTCACAGCCTTCAGTTCTTGCCCACCTCCCCACTTTTCCCCATCCTTCCTCACTGACCAGCAACCCCTTCGTCACAGAAAGTGAGGTGTGGGCCACCCGCGGCCCTGCTTTAGGTGGAAAGTGTATCTTCTCTTGCTGACATGTTCCGTGCTAGGAAGCAGATGGCAGGATGTTTTTGACATCTGCTGGTGTCTGCCCATAGAGGAGGCTTGCCAGGAGACAAGGAACAAAACTGGAGTCGATGCCCTCCCCTGGACCTAGTGACCCAGTCCGAGCTGGCTCAGTTAGCTGATGGTGGGCGCCACAGCCCCTCTCCAAGTTGAAACCCTAGGATGGGAAGAAACTTGGGAATCACCCAATGGGACATCTCTTCCCAAAGGCGGACACCCACTGCCAAGGAGCCAACAAGATGGCCCTCCAGCCCCCAAGACAGGGTACTTCCTGCCTCCTGAGGAGCCCCGAGAAGGGCTCTCACCCTGGAACAGTTCTTCCTGCTGTTGTTTGCCAGGTTTTCCTTCCCTATAATGTCCCCTCCATGGGTTTCAATTCTCCCTTAAAAGTGATACACGGCTGGGCATGGTGGCTCACATCTGTAACCCCACCACTTTGGGAGGCCGATGTGGGTGGATCACTTGAGCCAGACTCAGTCTCAAAAAAAAAAAAAAAGTGATACCTATGTTCACAGCAGCATTATTCATCATAGGCAAGAGGTGGAAGCCACCCCAGTGTCCATGGATGGATGGATGGATGGATAAATGAAATATACATATATACGTTTGTATATTTGGTTTCTTGCCCACCTCCTCCCTTCCCCCAACTCTTCCTCATTGACCAGCAACCCCTTCTTCACAGAAGGTGAGGTGAGCCACTGCCTTCCCTTTGCAGGTGGAAAGTCTAATCTTCACCTTGCTGACATATTCCAAGCTAAGAAGCAGATGGCAGGATAATGTCACCTGCTGATACATACATACAATGGAATACAATTCAGCCTTAAAAAGGGAGGGGATTCTGACCCATGTTGCAGCATGAATAAACCTGGAGGACCTTATGCTAAGTGAAATAAGGCAATCACAAAAAGCTAAATATTGTATGATCCCACTTATATGAGGTACCTAGAGTAATTAAATTCATGGAGACAGACAGTAGAATCGTGGTTGCTAGGGGCTGGAGGGAGGAGGGGGTAGGGAGTCATTATTTAGTGGGTACAGAGTTTCAGTTTTGCAAGATGAAAAGAGTTCTGGAGACAGATGGCTATGGTTGTACAACAATGTGAATGTACGAATGTGCTTAATGCCATTGAACTGTACATTTAAAATGTAACCGTATACTTTAAGATGCTACATTTTATGTTACATACATTTATCACAATTAAAAGCAAAGTACAGAAGACTTTTTTTTTTTTTTCTTTTTAAGAGACAGGGCTTCAGAATGCAACAATGCAATCATAGCTCACTGCAGCCTCAAACTCCTGGGCTCAAGTTATCCTCCTGCCCCAGCTTCCCAAGGAGCTAGAATTATGGGCATGTGCCACCACATCTGGCTAAATTTTTTATTTTTTAGATATGGAACTTCACTATGTTGCCCAGGCTGGTCTCGAACTCCTGGCTTCAAGCGGTCCTCCAGCCTTGGCCTCCCAAAGTGCTGGAATTACAAGCCAGGTGCTCATGCCCTGTAATCCCAGCACTTTGAGAGGCTGAGGCAGGAGGATTGCTTGAGCCTGGGAGTTTGAAATCAGCCTGGGCAATATGGTGAAACCCTGCATCTATAAAAAGGCCAGGCCGGTCGTGTGCACCTGCAGTCTCAGCTACTTGAGAGGCTGAGGTGGGATGATCGTTTGAGCCCAGGAGGTAGAGGTTGCAGTGAGCTGAGATTGCATCAGTGCACTCCAGCCTGGGCAAGAGACTGAGACCCTTTATCAAAAATAGTAATAGGCCAGGAGTGGTGGCTCAGGCCTATAATCCCAGCACTTTTGGAGGCCGAGGCGGGTGGATCACGAGGTCAACATTAAGACAATCCTGGCCAACATAGTGAAACCATGTCTCTACTAAAAATACAAAAACTGGCTGGGCGTGGGGGTGCGCATCTATAGTCCCAGCTACTCGTGAGGCTGAGGCAAGAAAATAGCTTGAATTCAGGAGGTGAAGGTTGCAGTGAGCCAAGATCACACCACTGCCTTCCAGCCTGGGGGACAGAGTGAGACTTTACCTCAAAAAAACAAAAACAACAACAAAACACAAAGTGCTGGGATTACAGGCATGAACCATTGTGTTCGGCCCCCTCTGGGTGAATATCCTTTTTTTTTTTTGAGACAGGGTCTCACTCTATTGCCCACCCTGAAGTGAAGTGGCATGATCACAGCTCACTGCAGCCTTCACCTTCTGGGCTCAAGTGATCCTCCCAACTAGCTGGGACTATAGGCACACTCTATCACACCCAGCTAATTTAAAATTTTTTTGTAGAGATGGGGTCTCCCTGTGTTGCCCAGCCTGGTCCAGAACTCTTGGGCTCAAGAAATTCACCTGCCTCAGCCTCCCAAAGTGCTGGGATTGCAGGCATGAATCACTGAGGCTGGCCTGAGTGAATACCTTATCTGAGAACAGCATCGCTTTCACTGTGTCCTAGTGATTATAGCAGGCAAAGTAAGTTAGAATGTGTGGACAGCTCTCTCCTTTAGCTAAGGTCTCTTGCCTCCACGCCCTCCTGGGCCCTATCTAGGATAAATATTAAACGCACCATCCTTATCCTTGGCCTGGTCGGCCATCCGTGGGGTGGCTCAGAATTCCTTTTTCTCTATTGTTCTCATTTGTGAATTTGAGATAACACCACCACCTTCTCTCAGTTACCCACCTCATCAGGTGGTTGTGAGAATGACATGAATTAATACATGTAAAGCACTAAGACCACTGCCTGGCACACAGTAGGCATCATTTAAGTGTGTGGTAGTATCTTGACCTGAGACAAAGATGCTGAGTTTGCCCTGCAGAGGGGCTTGAAAAATTCTGAATCTGGGCTGGGCACGGTGGCTCACGCCTGTAATGCCAGCACTTTGGGAGGCCAGGGCGGGTGGATCACTTGAGGTCAGGAGTTCGAGACCAGCCTGACTAACATGGTGAAACCCTGTCTCTACTAAAAAAATACAAAATTAGCCAGGTGTGGTCGTACACACCTGTAATCCCAGCTACTTGGGAGGCTGAGGCAGGAGAATGGCTTGAACCTGGGAGGTGGAGGTTGCAGTGAGCCAAGATCACACCATTGCACTCCAGCCTGGGCAACAAGAGTGAAGCTCTCTCTTGAAAAAAAGAAAAGAAAAATTCTGAATCCGAATGACTCCAGTTCTGCCACAGCACCTCCCAGGCCCACTTCATGGGTTTACAACATCTGCCTTGGCCCTGAAAGCCCTGGAGCTTGCCAGGCTGATCCTGTCCATCCCTCTGCCCACACTTTAGGGTAGAAGAATCTGAGGATTAAGGAAGGCTGGTTCAAGGTCACAGTGAGTGAATGGCGAGCTGACTGGGCTCCCAGTCCAGGGCTCTGTCCACCCACACTTCTGAGGCCACATTCCATATGCCTGTGCCGTCTGTCCCAGCTGCCCACAAACGGAGCGAAGGAACACCAGTAAATTTGACCTGCTTCCCTCCCAGCAGCCGAGGGGTTAAACTAAAGAGTCCCCTTCCAACCAGCTGCCTTACTTTCCCAATCCAATATTCCCGCCAATAAAATTAGTGCACCGAAACAACAGCAGAGAAGAAAAAAAGTCTCAAGCAGCCAGCACTGCTGCTGCTATAAATGTTGAAAAGCCCTCGGATCCTTGGGGAATACA